GGGGCGGGGGGGGGGGGGGGGGGGGGGGGGGGAACTACGATAATGTAGCCTTTAGCCTGGATACTGCTCAAGAAATTCACCTGAGCTTGTGGGAAACCAAGGTTGAAATCCCAGGTCTAATCCACAGTTCAATCATGTGACTGACATACGAAGATTTGAAAATGTCTACAGGACTGGAAAATCCCAATGTATAAACAAATTAAATACAAAATGAATTGCCCATCACATTGATGCGATCTTGGATCTCATATCAAGAGTGCTTGGTGGATAAAATAAGAAAACAAAGGAACAGAGATTAATAACAGTGAAGTGAGATAGGATAGTATAACAGGTCATGGCTAAGAAACAGAAGGATGAGAAATAAAGGAATAAAAAAAGGAGAAAGAAAATTTAGCAGAAACAGCAAAGGTAAGAGAGCATTGCAGGACAGTGAAAGAAGAAAAACTGGTGAGCAGAATAATTGAAGTGATTTCCTATGGTTGCATTCTTGTGAAGTGTGTAGTGCAATGGGATCCTGGCTTACATGCTTTGAGGCATTACTTCAAGAAATACTCTCACTAAAGGTCAAATGTTTGCCACAGCACAGCTCACCCATCAGGCCTATGTGGTTAAGGCACACAGGGCACACTTACACATGCATATTAATGCAACACAGAAAATGCTGGCACTTACTGCAGTGGAATATATTGCTTCTGGGTACTGTGTTTACATGTGCATGTGGGACCGCAGCACATTGAGCTGGGTAGGAGCTGCCCTGGCTGACAGGGGGGCTGGGAGGTCAGCTTGCCAGCCCAGGGCTGCTCTAATGCGGCTCAACATGCTGCAGAAGGGCTGGCTAGGACACAAAGATGCTCTTGTCAGCAGCAGCAGCAGTCCCTTGGAGTCGAGGATGACATCTGTTAGGCTTGATGGGTCCTCAGGTGACTGAGGAGCCCAATTCTGGATAGACACATTCTTTGGCAATGTGGGAATGTTGTTGCATGGGAAGTGGGATTCACAGCCCCAGGTTGGTCTCCTTCCTTCCTCTGCTGCTGTAGTTCCACCTCAGTATCGAGTCGTTGGGCCTCAAAGTAATGCCTGCCTTGGTGGATGAGGTAGCACCACACCGAACAGTAAGCAGCTTGCTCCTCCCAGCCATTGGTGTCAATGCCTCTGTGCTTGTGTGTGTCTTTGTACCATTCCCTTGGACAGCCCTTTTGAGCATTGGCCAACAGAGAGCTGGGAAAAGAGAATCTGGTGAGGGAGGTGGTTCTCAGACATCCAGACACAGTGGCCCATCCATCGGAGTTGATTTCTCAAGAGCAATGCTTCAATGCTGGTTGACGGGTCCTCCCATTTGATCCCCAGGATTTGACGCAACTACTGCTGGGGAAAGCTCTCGAGAGCCTTAATGTGGCATCTGTAGGTGGTCCAGGTTTCACTGCAGTAGAGGAGGGTGGTCAGCATGACACCCTTGTAAACCAGGACCTTTGTCAACTTCTGAAGGTCTCTATTTTCAAACACCT